GTGTCAGATATGTGAGGTCATAATAATTATTATATAGAGGGATTGCGACAAGCGTGTTCTAGCTTAGTTTCAAATGGAATTTTATAACAGAATGACAATACTATTTCTCGTATATGTTTCTATGACGTTTAGGAGAGTCCAAGGCATTATTGTGATATAGGGCTTGTAAGTAGATGATGGATCAAACCTTTTGTAAAGTAAGAATCGATGGTACTACGATTTGTTGTTTTCAGATTATAATAAGAGAAGATTATTGCAAAGGATTTGAGCCGTGTAGGGTTATCGTGAATGCCAGTAGTGTTCAGAAATTACCGAGACAAAAAGTGTAGTACCCAAATCTCGGTATCGAAAAGAATACCGATACTTGAGTACACATTTACTATGGTAATTTGAGGCGTGATATTGGCCTATGAGGGTTCTGAGGTGTGAATAGGTGAGATATTTCGGACAAGCGTTGAAGTTGAAAGTAGTAAGTAAGCGATGGATAGTTAGGATTAGATCGTGTCTAGATAGGTTTATATAACGTCATAGAAACGAACAGTGCTGCGATAGGTTCGAGAAAATGACAAAATTACAAATTGTTTTTTAGGCATTACAATTTTAATTTCTTATAACGGCTAAGACGGAGTCACATGAAGCTTCCAGTTTAAAAAGTTTTTTTATAAGTGTCATGAATTTGTTTTTTTTTCATTAATTAGTTTGTAATTTTTTAATTGTATCGCTTCAGATTTCTAGTTATTTGTTAAGTATATGTATTTGGCTCAGTAATTTTTTCTTAAATTCTGACAATTCTATGCGTCATTTTAACTTCCGATTTGTAAATAAGGATAAATTCTAAATATATATTTTTTTGCTGAACGTTTATATAAGCAGTGAATTACAATCTATTTGGCGTCCGGAGGTTAATATACGCGTATATATCATCAAGTACAAATTTAGGGAGTCGTTAGTTTGATCCGTTTTAGCAGACGGAGTGGACTAAGTCATTAACTTATTCTCCAAAAAATAATATTTTTAATGGAAATATTTTTGAGTAAACAGCCACCTGTAGTATTAATATAACCCCCATTCCAGGAAAGTGGTAGACGTTTGATTTGTTTTTATTGTATTCGCACGAAAATTCGTTATCGGTTATCCGCTCGACCCCCTCCCCCCACACACTCCCTTCATCAAAGGTTTAGCTTTAAAGATTGTTGTTTGCCTTATAAAAAAATGTGATCTTATGAGGATTATACTAAAGGATATTGCTGTACGTTGCGGGCGAAGGCATTGCGTTTGAATCGGAAATTTGACACTTACATTTTAGGTCATCATTATCATCACAGCTTTTAATAGTCCACTGCTGGACATAGGCCTCTCCTTAGAAAGGCGGCTATGACCACAATTTGGGACTGATTTTAAAATTCAATATCACTGAGGAAATTAAACGAATCGTACTAAATCATCTAGAAATTTTGTAAAAGTAACCATTCATTTTAAAGGTTAGGCTTTATTCACACTGAATTGTAACACTGTTGTATTTTGTACAAAAATGTAATCAGTGTAAATGACGCCTAATCACTACAAAAAACGCACTGACGCCCGCAACAAGTATGAAAGAACAATGCCTTGTTTGTATAATGAATATGGTAACATATAAAAAAAAATGAATTATCTAATATAATAAGACTTTGACAATGTTCGAAAAGCTCAGGAAAGGTGACTGTCAATTGGATACAGAGGCGAAAAGGGCTTTATTGGTTAGAAAGTTACCATTCACGCTGCGACTAACGTCAAACCAAAACCATTGTAATAAGACAACTATCAGTAACCAAACTGTTTTCACTATAAATGTTAAGTAAGAAAGTCAATAGTAATGTACTTGTACCGTACCAGTGTTGTTAAATCCTAGCGTTTGTCGCAATGTGAATGTTGTTTTATAAAGAATGCTAGTTAGCAAGCTACTTGGTCTAAGAATGAAATGAAAAAACGATTAGTTACGCATAAATGTCTTGTATTCTAATGTAATTTAATCTATCTATGTTCGAGTTCTAAGAACAATGGGTGGTACGATTTGACGCAATTGCGATTTTTTTAGTAGCGTGTACAGGGGGCTTTGAGTTAACGATTTTTAAGATACATGCCTATTTTAGCGGTCTGTTAATTAGATTTCAACACTATCGGCAGCTAAATTTGAGTTACCGATATTTGTTTGAAAGAGATTCGACTGCTACGATTGGACATGTACCTTTATTTTAAACACTTAGGTACTGGTAAAGCCCTCTCCGCAAAGAAACTAAAAAGGATATAATTTTTATAAATCTTAAGAAGTTCTTAGTTTCACAGTAAAGTAAATACACTGTAAATTATTTCTTATCTTAGTAAAAAGATCTCATCACCTTATTTTTTTGTTTTGTCTTTTTATAATTATTTTGATGAAGCAGATTAGTTGATTTAAAGACAATCAATGTAAAATAAAACTTATGGATGTATATACTTGTTTTGTTTCATTTAAATACTTATTACCCTCAAGGGACCACACGGAGACCTATCCTATGATGGATTTTCTGTGGACCTCATACACATTGTCTCCTTAGTACCAAAAATATACCTGTCTCAGCCAGATGCCTGTTGTTTGAGCATCTGCCGCTTGTACTATGGGCTAAAAGCGCTGGTGTTCTTATCCTCCGCAGCCCGAGGACTCCATTCTACTCCGATGCCGGTCCGGTTTATGAGTAAGTACTACCATATCTAGTTTTTATGGTTAGGTAGATCCTATGATGTGTCCAGGACTCCCTTCCTAAGGAATACCTGAGTGCCTTGCGATACTCACATGTGACAACAGCGTATGATTGTAGTCGGTTCGATTCCGACACCTCTTCATAGTGATCCCGGTGAAGTGATGACTCGTTTGGGTTGCCACACGAAAAAAAAGGTCCTACGATGTGTTATTGGTGTCAATTATCCTCCCTAGAGTTGTGAAATGAACCGTGTATTGTCAACGACACTACTGGACCACAATACTGGGGTATCGTTTATAATTTACCACTACTACAACCTACTAGTGATGTACAACGTGTAACAAAACAATTGTTGTTGTTTTCATTTTGAATGATAATTGGCTGAGTTCACAAGGAATTTGTAAAACAATAATAGTTGTGTCTATTTGTGTTATACCAAGTGTTTGAGTTCCTCCATTCACGTATATGTCAGGGGTCTAGTAATTTCGATATTAATATAATTTGACAGTATGCAGTACTGCCGCGCCAATCCAATAAGCTTACTACGTAACTTTTGAAAACGACTTTTGACTTTGAAAGCTTTGTTACAGTTTTTTACCATGTTTTAACCCTAATTTCAAGACAATACAGTATTTTTAAATTAGTGTCTCTTCTAAAATACACTTTAGCATAACAAAAGTGTTGATCAGCGGCTATTAGTACCCGAGACGGCATGCGGTTTTAGTCGGTTCGAGTCCGACATGACACCGATAGGTGGTATCCAAGGGGATTTCAGCACGGAAAAAGAAAAAAAGGGGTACTAAACCGACGTGAAGAAACTGATTGAGCGTTGTTAAGGCAAAACACTAAGTCGAGTTACAGTCTTTTGGATTGGCAGGGCAGAGTTGAGAATCAAATAACAACAACAATAATATATATGATCACACACACATAGATCATCTATGTCATGGTCGTGATCTTCCACATGATAAATAATTGATATCGATAAATGGATTATTTTGTATAAGAACCAACTTCGTTACGGTGGTGTGGTTACCAAAAAAATATTGTAAACGACACTCCAGTTGTGTCGTTGACAATATACGAAATGAGCTGGCTCTTTATTCTATGCCATTTTGGCACGGTTAAATATAAGTGACGCAATAAAAGAAACTACTCACTTTAATAAAACATTAGTTTATTATGTCAATACACGAAATACTCATTGTAATCCTTATAATCTATGTACATCATCATTAATTGAAACTCCCTGATATAAACTGCTAATCATCATCATCATCATCAAAATTTAAGAAAGTATTATTAACCGCTGATGTAGAGTAGTGTAACTCCTGAGCGAGTGATCTAAAAGATATGCGTATATCGCTCACAACGATAAAATATGTACTGTGTGAGTGACACTAGCTCCGAATGTATCAGAGGACCTAGTGTGAGTTTATTTCATATCTACTCGATCGTCACGGTAACCAGCGTTTTCGCCGTTTTCTTTTAACTACATCAGTTATATTTTGGAGTTTACTGCTTAGAATCGATTTTTATAAAGGCGAGCGTTATGAAATTCATATGTAGAGTAAAATTTAGTGGTCGAATTACCTCGTTACGTTTTTGCGCGCAAAAATTTTTTTGTAATACACACACGTGTAAAAGGTGCGCACGACAGGCGCACCTTTTACACGTGTGTGTATTACATGTATACTTGTGTGCAGCCAAATCGTGCTTCGGAGCTTTCACATTTTTTTTGTCAATTTTTTGAATAGTCCCACTACTTCTACTAATGTGTCGAGTTTTTCAGAGAATGTCAAAAATAATTCAAGAAAAAGTTTAGGAATCCATTTGGAGGCGAACTATTTTTACTGAGTTGTGTTATTTTTATGTACAAGTATGCATTATAGTTTTTATTACAAAATTTTAATTTACAAACATTTTTATTGAGTATTATATTTATTTCCAAATATAAAATAATTTTTGAATTCATTCCACATTTTTAAATGCTTGCAATACAAATAGTACTCTATTTGTAAAAGATTGTCACACTTAAAAAATATTAACTGCTTTCTAATTTTTAAGACCTTACCTTAGTACGTAACACTTAATTCTAGTCTTATAATTCCTTCTGCAAAGTCCTTATAAACGAACATTAAGAAAAAAATTTATTTAGCGTACTCACAAACAATCACTTTGTTTTAACTTCTAACCAAGTAAAAGTCCACAACTCGTCCATGCAGTTTCAGCAGAGGTCTAGGGCCGCACAGACAGTGGCCCTAGATGTCTCATCCGCCTCTAAATAGCACCCCGACCTCTTCCTCTCCCCCTGAAACCACCTCGCCCCCTGGACCGCTGTCCCTTGCTAGTGTTAGGAGGGCTCTTAGGGCGCAACGCTTCTATCCGTTCAGTGCAACCGGTACTCTCTCGACCCTCACTGAAGTAGGAGGCGTATAGTTCTGCATTAAAGTTGGAGTTTGTGAGTTCGTGACCGATAGTCACCCAGCCCGGACGTATCGTGGAATCACGGCCGAATAAGTGGACTCTGGAATAAGTAATTTAGAGTAATTTCTTGGAACGAACTCTTATATATTTGTATTATAGTTTATGAATACTCTCATGTTCATTAAATAAAGCACAAAATAAGAACACATACAAAGTTCCGACAAAGTTACTAATATCCTGAGGGCATGGTGTACGCGTACGAACGGGCCCTTAGGCTGTTAGTAACTTTGTTCGAACTTTGTATCGCATTCAATGTGCTTGATGGAAATCGCAGTATTTTTGTAGCGTAATTCTCTTTCTTCTAGTCGGAGATAGTCCTATATAGATACCATGCGTCACAAAATTTTTGTGAAAAAAAAAGTGCGGTGAAATATCGCTGTGTGGACAGGCTCTAAGATAATATGTAAAAAAATATTTTAATGTGCTAAACATTTATAATTTTTGTGTAAGAATTGCATTAAGATGCACAAATTACAATTACGATATGTTAAGTTAAAAAAGAGAACCAGATTAATTAAGCACAGTATTATTACATCACAGCCTTTACCTTCTTCTTCCCAAACAAAAGTGCTCCATGATATGAAATATCTCAATCGGCTTCTCGGTACTTCCAAATTCTGGGTCTTCAGATATGATCAGATCTATATCTACGTTGGCATGAATAAAATCTCCATCCACAGATCTTCGGACGGTCCCTTTGATACCCATGAGACAATGTTCCTTAGTTCGTTGAAACACAGCATTGTGCTCTAGGTTCTTGGAATGGCCAGGGTTCTTAATGTTGGTTTTTATCCAGCATATGTCCTCACAGCGGCGGAAACCCCACTTCTTGAGACATTCTCTGCCCATGTCCAAGCCTGTTAATTGTAAATTACATAGGATTAATTAATCTATTTTTAACTAAAAATATCCTCTGTTTCAAGATGATATGAAAGCTACAGGCCTGAGACTAAATAGAGGGTTTATTGGGTTTGCGGTATAAGGTTGACTTATACGGCAAATTCCAGTTCAAATTCGACAATAATTTTCAATCGCGTCGAATCGTCGGAAATAGAATTTCAATACAAGTACTCATATACTAGATTAAGATAAGTATGTCCCATTTGCTGTATACCTTCAGAAGAGCCGCACCATAAGAATATGAAGGAGCGTGCTTGTGCCAGCTGCTGCAGGTCAAGAGCCAGCACGTCCTGCCAGCGCCAGCCCGAGCCCAGGGGCGGCTCCACAAGCAAGACATCGAACTTATTGCCCATTTGTTTAAGGTCAAATGTCTGGAATTACAATTTTGTGTGTTCTTTTCAAGAAGGTGTTTTAGTTTTGTTTGGACTTTAAATCTAAAGAATTAACTAGAAAATAATTTAAGATTAAAGTGTACTACTTTCTAGTAGTTTCTTTTTTGGTAAAATAAACAGAAATAAAGAGAAGCAGATATTTCTGCATAGCTTGTTTAAAATATTACAAAATACCTTCAAATCACATTTCAAGTACATCGGAGGTGTGGCAGTCTGAGCAATTAAATCATCTTTCAATTTGATCAGCTCCCGCAACTTTGGATACTCCTCAAAGCGATCAGCAAGACCCACATCCCGAATGAAGTTCTGCGGCCTCTGGCCTGTGTCAACGAAGTGCTGGCAGTAGTCATTGTGGGGGTTTGATGATTGAGTGCCCTGTAGACATTTGTTTAGAATATGGTCATTAAATTTCTAGTTAAACAAGTGACATGACACCTACTAGGAGAGTCATTACTTCAGAAGATTTCTATCACCTGAGACACCTAAATGTCCGACTGCCTCTGAACTAGGCTGAACATGTAAACTGTTAATTTGACTGCTGATAAATATACTTATAAACATACATTTTATAGATATGTTACATCCAAATACAGAACATGAAATAGCATAGCAATGAATTTATTGTTAGTGCATAAGTTCTATACAAGTGCTAAACTAGCTGGTACCCGCGACTTCGTTTTAGTTGTAGAATTTGAAAAGCGCTGCCTTAGTGTACCCACTCTTAGTGTGTTCTCAGAGGAAAAATTGCCTAAGTTATTCCTTATTTAGACAGCTACCTGTTAGTAAAATATTATTGAAATTGGTCCAGCTGTTTGGAAGGTTTTTAGGCATAGGTATCGTGAAAATATACGTGTGAGCATGAAAAAAACCTATAATTTTGATATTACAAACAGACACATCAATTTTATTTATTTGTATAGATATTTGAGTTATTTCAGTGGGATAGTGTGATGATTCATCATCATCAGCCTATCGCAGTCCACGGCCTCTCCTATTGATTAGTCAAACAATTTGTCTAATTAGTCACTTAATATATATGTATGTGTAGTTTTGTATCTCAAGTGTGTTCCAGTTATTTCAGAGATTATATTATTTGAACAGATTAAGAAGTCTTATAATAAACAAGTTAGATTAGATGTCAAAGAGGTTTTATCTATGTCAATGGTGTGTTAATTAAAGTACTGAAATATAGCACTAATCTTGAAATACAAGAACAGCTAAGCTTATGGCAGGTTATTTGCTTATTTGCCACTGATGTAATTTTAAAAAAGAAAAAAAATTGAATGACGATATCTAGAATACGAAAAATCTGCATTAAACTTATTAAATTCTTTATTGGATTTGGTTTGATATGTCTACATGGCGTTTTAATTGTTTTTGTATATGTAATTATATTTTAAACTAACATTAGTATGTAAGAAAGTTATTACTAACATAATATGGATTTTTTTATGAAACTAATCATTATTATTATTAAACAACAGAACAATTTTTTTTTGTAAGACTCCATGACAGTTTCTTTTCTCAGATAATAGATTTTTATAAGAAAACCTTTTACAGGAGATAATGGTACGGAATTTACAAAAAATAGAATACAGAAATAGTTAAGCATAGCCGTAAACAATAAAAACAAATCCTCACTTTTAAAAATGTTGAAGAATCCGTGTACACCAATCCATCCGGTTGTTCCTTAGTGGTGGGTTTTTCTGAACCTTCGGTACTGATCTCTGCAATCGCCTGTTTCTTAGGCGGAACATCGGAAGTGGTACCTAAAGCGTGCCTCAGCTCGCTTACACTCGATACACCAAGCTAAAACATTAAATTATTGCAATAACTCCGGACTTGACATGTTTAGGTTATAATCTCACATATTAATACAAACATACAGTCTGTGCTAACAATTTCTTTCTTTTTTGTGATCTCTCACGCAACTCCTTTAGTTTTTCACTCATTGTTTTATTAATGCAGTCCGTTTACATAAAAGGTTTTATAGCATCAGTACAGAAACCAGAAACAATAAATTAAATCGATGACATATTGCACTTCGTTCAAAAATCACCTATGACGGCATGTTTATTCATGAAAAGAAGTGCTTTTATTTATTTTTAGAAATAACATTAAAATAGTAGTCAGTTTTTAGTAAAACGGAATTTAACTGTTGAGAAAAGTATAGCTTTAAAGTATTCAATTTTATATTTTTTTATGTTTGTTTCTTTTTCTAAATGCCTATTTCATCCATTGAAATAACATCTTCGGTAGTATAGTGGTCAGTATCCCCGCCTGTCACGCGGGAGACCGGGGTTCGATTCCCCGCCGGAGAGATCTCTTTTTGCCTTTTTATATTTCCGTTAATTAAGATCCAATCGCTCATTTTATTTTAATTATTTTTATTTAATGGTATTTTCAAGTAAATTTTTCAAAACTAAAAGTTTGTTTTATCAATCTAGAATTTCAAAATGTTTGTTCTCTTTAAGTTAAACTTACATTTTCTAAGTTTTGTTATGAAAATCAGAAATTATTTCGTTAATTCAAATTGTGATCATGAGTAGCACTAGTATTAATTAATAAATTATTTTTGTGCCATTAAATTCACTTATCTACGTTCTTACTTACCTTCATTGTTGTATCATACGCAATAATTTATTTTGTTAAAAAAGTTTATAAAGTATAGTGTGAATTTCAGTATTGCATTGCGCATGCGCAGTGCAAATGAGCAGTCTCATTAGGTATTTAAATATTGTCTCAGACAAATAATATAAGTCATATAATTTTACTTTTGAGATGAAGACGACACAAAAATCACTTTAAGGAAGTTGTTGAAGGGACTTATTTTTACCCAAATAAAAAAAAAAGAGCAGTTTCTCAGTAAGGTTGTATTTTTAATAATAATAATAACTACACACATTTTACTCATGGCCATCTGATCCCAAAGTAGGCAGAGCCTGTACTATGGTAACTATACTGCCGATGATCACACTTATATATTTGTAAATACATACATATTATAGATAAATTATACCCAGACACAGTGCTTATCACACAATGTTTGTCCTGGGTGGGAATCGAACCCACGACCTCCTGCTATCTGCTAATGTTTGTTAGCACATTTAGTTACCATTTGTGAACTGATTTGGCAATATTTGACCCATCACAAAAAAAAAAACACTCCTGTGGGTGAAAAAATTAATGAATGAAGTATCTTATCATTATCATCATCAATATAAGAAATGCTTAACAGCTTTAATGTAATGTAAGCCTCAACGTTTTTTTTTAATTATTATTATTATTTTTTGTTTTATTTCGTATTTTTAAAATTTTATCAAAACCATTTTTTAATTATATTTTTTTTGTTACTTTTAAGAATTTAAACTTTTAACATCGCTTGTAACTTTGTTCACTTGGTTGATGGTATTAATTTTTTTTACTGTGCTTGCTGTGGTCTCCTGTAAGTGAAGGAGTACACCGACTTTAAACCCATTCTGTTAATTACTGTTTTTTTTACTTGTGTATATCTTTCGTAGGAGATCCTAATAAATAAATAAATAAATAAATAAATCTCAGCCAAAAGACGTCCACTATTGGACATAGGGCTCCAACAGGGCCTCAATTCTGCTATTTTATGTTCACGCCAAGCCAGTGTCATACCTACCACTGACACGCTATTGAGATGCCACGAGTGGCCATTGGCATCGATATAAATATCGGTAGTTGAAAATATATTACGTTTTTTGAGGAAATGTTTTTTTTTTGGTTTATCATTTTAATAATTATTTTTTCTTTTTATATATAATTTTTTTTTTTAATTTCTTTTAATTTATTTAATAATTTACAATTTTTAAAAAAAATCAATTAATTGACAAAAAAGAAAAATATTATAATGCAATTAAAATATTTACAACACTTACACTCAAGGCAGGCCTTCTGATCACGAGAGTATCGATCAGTTGTTTAGCTAGTTGTTTCTACATAGCACGAGCACTCGGATCCTATGACCACTCTCAACACCAAGCGTGTCCCGTGTCTCGACACCAAGGGGTTAAAAAATGTAATTTCCTACTAAATTTTGGTATTTACGCCTTTTGATAGTTTCTGAGGATGCAGCAGTAGCGCTGACATAACCAGCTGTGCTTGGAAGATTAATTGACGGTTTTCTAAACGTTAAAGGTTACTAATTTTAACTGTAGATCTTCTAATGATAATAACTAACTATTAGTAATTACTTAGCACTTTTGTCTTTTAAAACAATCTTCAAACCTTCAAGAGAAGAGCGTACTCATTCCTAAAAGGCCTGCAAAGGAGTTGCAGACGTTCATGGGCGGCGATGATCACTTTCCATCAGGTGACCCGTCTGCTCGTCTGCCCCCTCTAACATAAAAAATAAACTTATGGACAACGTTCAATGGCGAATAAACTATTGTATTTTATTCTATCAATAAAGCATAAGCGAATGCAATGCGCCTATAAACACCATGACGAATTGTATTAAACAACAATATTCTTCTTCTGTGTGTCTATATAAAAGTTCTGGAGTGGCGACCACGTACCGGAAGACGGAGCGTGGGTAGACGTCATACAAGATGGTTCGACGAACTTGTGTAGGTCAAGGGAAGCTTTTGGATTCGGACAGCACAGGACCAGGGCCTCAATTGTGCTGTTTTATGTTTACGCCAACCCACTGTCATACCACTGACACACTTATTAAAAGAAATAAATAAATTAAAATAAATTATTAAAAGAAATAAATAAATAAAAATAAATTATTAAAAGAAATAAATTATGTAATTAAATAAATTATCCGTGTTGTGACTGATTAAGAATACGGAGTGTCACCACCCCTATGCGTATCGTGGGTGTCGTAAGAGCCGAGTAAGGGAAAAAACTACGCAGGACAACAGCACTGCAAAGAGAAGGAAAACTTGACACAAAACCTTTTTTTTTTTTAACGTGTGGAAATCCCCTCGGACCGTCACCCCACCGGGGTTTGCGGCGGGGTGGTGTGTCGGACTCGGACCGACTAAAACCACACGGTGTGCCACTCTGCGCCTGTAATAGGAGGGATCCGGGAATAGCTGTTATTAAGACATCCGGACCCCTCCTAGCGCCTGCCCGCTCCTGATGCGGGCTCCGTCTCAAAATTTTAACCTCTCTTTAGGCGACGTCCGGCACACGTGGACGCCGCCCCCTCGCGGCTGGCCAAACTAATGCGGGTGGAGGGGAAACCCACCCCGTCCACCCGCGGCCACACTCAGGGCGGAATGAGGCCCAGGAAAGCGCGCCTCCGCCGCCCGGTTCGCCGGCGGCGGATCGGGTCCGAGTGGAGGTCGTCCTCCCGGGCCTTCTCCGCCGCCTCCTTCTGCGAGATTACTTCGAAAGTTGGGACTGCGGTAAAACAACTGTCGCTACCGGCCATGGAGCGTACTACGGCCGGTAGTGAGAGATCCACTCCGATGACTGCAGTGAGGGCCCGGCTCTGCGTAGCCCATGCGAGGCAGACCGCCAGCGTGTGCTGGGCCGAGTCCTCACTGCAGTCGCAGTGGTGGCAGGCGGGACTCAGTTCCCTCCTAGCGACCGAGTGCAGGTACTTTTCGAAGCAACCGCGCCCGGAAAGCACCTGCGTCAGCTGGAAGGTAAGGGTCCCGTGCTGCCGCTCTGCCCACTCGGCGACGACCGGCTGGAGAGCCTCCACGGCGGCGAAGCCAGCGCGTGGAGTCTCCAGCCGGAACGACCAACGAGCCATCGTGGCTCGGCGAGCGGCTTTGCACCACTCCGGCACGTCTTCCGGCGGAGGGCGAAATCCGCTCTCCGCCCGGGAGTCAGCGACTCGCCCATAAACTTCGGCGAGCACTTCCGCCTCCAAATCCCACGGGGGAGTTCCGGCCAACGCGCAAGCCACCTCCGTCGCAACGGTGCGGTAACCGCGTATGGCTCTGACCGCCAATACCCTCTGAGGGCGCCAGAAACGTGCCCTATTCTGGGCGGTGAGAGCCGCCGCCCACACCGGTGCACCGTATAGTGCCATTGACCGGACAACCCCCGTGTACAGCCGTCTTGTCGCGACGCTGGGTCCACTCAAATTGGGCAAAAGTCGCCCTAGGGCAGACGCAGCGCCGACCAGCTTTGGAGCAAGCTGTCGGAAGTGCTCGTCGAAGAGCCACCTCCCGTCGAGGATCAGGCCCAGATATTTCATCTCGGCCCGAACCGGTACGAGGACCGAGTTGTCCACGATTGAGGCGCCAGGGGGTGGACCACGACGGGGCCCATGAAATAACAGAGCCTCCGTCTTATCTAGGGCCACCCGTAAGCCCAGCGCCTCAATGCGCCCGACCACCAGGCAGACTCCCCTTGAGGCCAGGCGCGCCGCCTCTTGGAAGTTCGCCCCCCGGGCTGTAACCAGAGTATCACCTGCGTAACAAATTGCACCCAGCCCGGGGGGGAAATCGGCTCGAAGGGCCCAGTCGTACCCTATGTTCCACAAGAGGGGTCCAAGAACAGACCCCTGTGGAACACCGCACGACATGGGCCGACACCTCAAATGACCATCTCGGTCCTCGTACACGACGGTACGCTCCTCTAAATAGTCTGCCACTAGCCGCCTCAGGTACTTTGGCACCCCATGATAGTGGAGTGCTTCCCTGATGCAGCTGTATGGCAGACTATTGAATGCGTTGGCGATGTCTAATGACACCGCCAACAGCACGCCGCCACAGCTCACGGCCTCTTCGGTCACTGCCCACAGGCGCAAAACAGCGTCGACTGTCGAACGCCCTCCCGAAAACCAAATTGGGCGTCCGACAGATCGGGGCCCACCTCGTAGAGGTGCCGGACGATGCGGGAAGAGAAAACCCTCTCAAACAATTTACCCGCCTCGTCCAGCAGCACGATGGGCCTGTAGGCCGCGACCGAATCGGCAGGCCGTCCTGGCTTCCTTAATGGGACCAGCTTCCCGCTCTTCCAGCACTCAGGGAAACGTCCCGACGCCAAGCTAGCGTCGAACACCTCCCCGAGGCGGTCTGCCATGTGGTTGAGGGCTAGGGCCAGCACTCGGGCCGGTATCCCGTCTGGCCCAGGGGCGGTGTTCTTGGAACGGATCCGTAGAACAGCCGCCCCTACCTCCGAATTCCGGACGGGCGGAACATCATCCCCCTCGTGCTCCACCCTCGGGAGTGTGCTCCGCCCGCTGCGGCAGAGAGAAGAAAAAAAAAAAAAAAAAGAGAAGAAAACCTAACCTAACCTAACCTGACCTGACCTGATGAGCGAGCCGACCAGCTCGCCAAGGCGGCTCTGGGACTGAAGAAAGCAAATAAAGTTTATCAATTTGCGAAAATGTGGGCGTAAAATAATATAATTTATATCTCGTTTAGAATCCTACGAAGGTTTATAGGAAATTTATAAATTTGCGGTTCTTGTTATTTTCCGGTGATAGATACATATTTCGTAAGTGTTTAATTTTTCTCTTCCTTTATTTACTACAAGTTTTCAAATTTCATAAGTAATAATATGAAAATAAAACAATTAATATAATTTCTTAAATAATTTATTGTAACAAATAGCACAACCATTTCATCAAACAAGATTTTAAAAAAAAGATACGTTTCTAGATTGTAATTAATAAATCAAGTCGTTTAGTATCAAGTTTATAACATTTTCACTTCCTTAACGTACAAGACGTATAAAAAAAGGGGTAAATGTGTATTAAAATAAATGTAGCACTTGGCAAGTTAATTTTGTTGGAGTGAACTTTAAATAACGGAGGCATCAACGCTATCTAACGCCGCTAACTTCAGTACGGTCAATTCAGAATGCGTGTTTTTGTACCTAACTCTAACCGATTCTATTCTAGTATATTTTTTTAGTAAATTATCTAAGATGGATACGGGGTTGGTAAACTGCCCCCTTGATTTTTGTATGCTAACGTTTTATTAAGGTTATTCAAGTTTTGTTTAAGTCAACACATCTCTTAATATGTTACTAACGCTAATTGATATCCCACATATTAATCGACATCTATCTTAAATGGAGTATGTCCAGTTACATCAGGTTCGCTATAGTTAAATACACTAAAAATAGTATTTTTCACAGCAGTAAAACTACTTACAGTAGCATTGCCACACTGTTCTTTAGTAACGCAATTTCCATTGAAACTGTCACGGTATAACCCTAATTTACAGTGACAGCCTAGTATGCACCGGCGCGTGCGCATCGCGCAGTGGAACCGGCGCGGTTCGCAGCGCAGCTCACAGCCGTACCGACAGACGAACTCCTCGTTTTGATGAGTACACTTTTCTGGAAGTTAAAATTATTATTTAGGATATAGGCAATTGAAATGTTTGAGACACACGCTTAAAAATAAATCTAAATAATTCTTTTAACGAGACCTTTTAATACGTAGACACTCAGGGGATAAAGCCATTAAACTGGAGTAGGTATACTCATCATAATTAGGTACATCGTACAGGGTCTGTCTAGTTTGTGATGAGACAGACATGTCTCTCGAGCTGTTATTTTTCTGTTTATTAATATTAAACAACAAACTACTTTATTTTTAAATGAACAAAAACTAAATATTATAATCAAGAAGTTACGTTTTTCATAAAAGCAGTTCTCTCGCACCCTACTAACCTCGCTACAGCTCGTCTATAGACTTTATGAATGTGATGTTTTTAATTTTAAAGATGGTAGGCACAGGTAACAAAAGTTCAGAGGAGGAGGTATTCTACCTTTCTTATTCAAGAGAAGTATTCTCGTACACAATCTTGTCTTATAATGCAGGTGCCCTATTTTCTTCGTTTCAAAAACCTTTTGTATATATTTTAAAAGTTTCGCTCCTGTTATGTAAAACTCAGTATACGAGTATCAAGTCTCATTTTGTGTTAACACCTATTGCTCACAAGTAGTTCGGGATGGTATCCTAGTTTATCTGTTACGTTTACCAAATTTTAGCCTGAAGAATATAGCTTTTGAGTAAGTTTTGGAATGATCGGACCGAATACTTGAATATACAAATTATTTATTATTTATTTATTACTACTGTATTAATATTTTAAAGTTTCTAGAAAACCATTCCACAGAAGTTTTCATTAACTATGGACTCCTGTTATAGTTACAATCATTAATTAGTTAATAAAACACATAACATAGTTCAAGGATATAACTATATTCTGTCTTTTTTTACACTTCATTTTTGAGGTTCATTTTTCATAGTATTAAGTCTTCAATACCCTAACCCTGCCATATTATTCAAAATGGCGACCCCTGCAGTCACACCGGCTTTAGCCACTGAGTACTTCAATCCACAACATGACCACATTATTTTAGAAATACTAGAACCACTCATTTGGAAATTTGGAAAAAATTGACAGTGTACCTCGTTAAACTGCAGCTTAAGTCTGACCATCTCACCTGAGTGTCAGATCCTCCATTTACATTTGGAAATAATACCCTCAGTATTGTAAAATACAAAACCACTCGTTAATATCATTCGTCTAATCTCTGATCCTTTTTATAAGGACAATACGCCAAAACAAACCACGAAGCTTATAACCTTTGCGGAACTGGAAACTTAAATATGGTATATCCAGTGGGGATAAAGTTACAGCCGAAATAATTTAGACTTACTTACATTTAAGGTCGAACTAATCCATCCCAATTACCAGAAAAATACTGAAGAAAAAACATTAAATTTAATCTTAAGGTTTAAAGTCGACAGGAAGATCAGAATCTGTTGTCAAGCATCAGTTTAGCAACTGATCTGATTTGGCTGTAAAGGATATCACCAAATATAGATTTACGAGGATCTTCGTACGCTGTTCTTCGGTTTTCAGAATAACTTATTATTAACTTTACGACATTTTTTTATCGTTTATTCCAAAAACAATAATAATTGTAACAATAATACTGAATGTGGGTGTGGAATTAAGTGTAAGCTGCATCATTCGCTCAAAACATTGTTTTTTTTCTACGTTTGTTTAGTGGCAAAGATTATTTCATAAAGTATCAGATTATTTACACCTTGATTAGTGAATTTGACAATAAATAGTTGCGATAGAAGCTTCAAGAACCAAAATTATTTAAAAGAAGCTACGTTTTTTAAAATTGTTGTAGAACTATGAGTTTTTAGAATTAATATTTTAAAATTATTAAAGTAAAGAAGGATATGGCGATATATTGTTCAACCTAGTTACCACGGTCAAACATCATGTAATACAAGATATATATCCATAGTGAGAACGTTAGTTGGTTTGTTTCTTACGCTTTCACTCCTAAACCACTAAACCGATTTTTCGAATGGAAAATAAATGTCATAATAATTATTATTGTCATAATTTTGTGTCATATGTACAAGTTTTTGTTACTAAATCCTTATCAAATTTAGTTTGACACTAGATAACTGTTGTTTATGATAATGGGACTATTTATAACCATATATCAAGTTCAAGAGCACTGCACAGAATGCATGCAGGCTTGATGGATGGCGCTATGTACAATGGAGTCAAGTTAACGACCTGTCACATAAATAAGACACCCACATGTAGGTGAGCGTTGAGAAATGTTGCATAAACTTGTTCGATGTTTGACAGCTAGATGAATTTGCATGTTGACATTGACATTTTTGACAGATAGCGATTAAAAATCACAGATGAAATAAAATTATTGTTTTATTCTCTTTGTTGAAGAAGAATAAAATTCTTAAGGAGTTTCGGAGAATCTCATGCCAGTATTATGAATATAATTATTAGAAGGGAATTATCACCATCGTTTATGGTGAAATGGTAGCAAGGTCAGGTTAAGTATAAAAATAACATCTTTATAACATAATTTTTCCGTTATCCAAGAAATCTATCTTGGAAATATAGGTAAGCTTTTTGGAACGAAGTTCCTTATCGCGGTGTGACGCTCTGAGCGGATTTGAGCGAGACCGAAAAATGTGTAACAAGACTTTTTTGCAACACGTCGATTGGCGTGTGGACGCTCACATCTTTTTCATATTTCATATATATAGCAAACGTCTATCAAAAAGCTTCGTTCCGACCGCGGGTCCACCCCTCACGCCGTTTTTAATTTGTTTGTTGGGAAATCAAAATAAACTACGTCACTTTATTGGCTGTAGTCCTGATACTAATTGCTGAACAGTAACTTACATCTTGTACACATTCTGTATTCTATTAAGATATTTAGGTATAAAAATCGCAGTTTTTTATTTCAAACAGGCAATCTCTTTGGTGTGGTGACGGATTAAGAATACGGAATGTCACCACCCCTATAGCCGAGCCGACTAAGGCAGCAAACTACACAGGACAACAACACTGCAAGGAGACGGAAAACTTGAAAGAAACCCTATATCAACCCGTCTGGCCAGCGTGGTATAGTAGGGAAAACCTCCTTTCTAAGAAGAGGCTGTTGATGATTGATGAATCTCCTTGTGCATTAAATTTGACTCTGAGAGAATCGTTAAGTATTTTATTTGGAATAATAGAAACTCGTCAATTATTGGAACCACAAAACATATTGTTACGACTTACGTGGAATACAATCCTTCTCTTCCACACAATGTCCACTATGATGTCTCAACAGTGGCGGTCGGCAAAGACATCCCGTGGTGCACACTTTGTTCGGACATGATGGGTTTGGGTGAGAACAGCTCGGCTCACACCAACCGCAGGAGAAATATTCCTCGTCTGGGGCACAGTCTTCGATGGTCGGCGACCCGGGTACCCCGAATGTCATCTCCGCTAGTAGAAAAATAAAAAAAAAATACCTTTATTTATTTATCTCATTGTAATACTTCTTTCCTAATATTTTACAAGGAAACAAGAAAGAACTTAATCAGAAAATTGTATTTTTTTAAATGTGGGTTAACAGCTTTGAGTTAAATTAATTTCATTAATAGTTTTTGGTTTATCTAGTGTATGTACTACATATTAATGAGGTGTATTTTTTAAAAGCTCAGGCGACCTACTGAGTTACACTGCGGCCGTAATCATTGTCTTTCGTCAACCTTCATCAAGCCATAGACAATAAGGGTTATAGACGTAACGTTTTAGAATAGAATATCCCTATCTTTAAACCTCCTTTCTAAGGAGAGGCTTATGTCCAGCAGTGGACTATTAAAGGCTGTTGATGATCCCTATCTTTATGCCTAGACTGCTGTCGTGATGTGCACGCAAGTTAGGCTAGAAGTATATACTTCATTCTCGTGATTATTAAGGTACTGAAAAGAAGATAGGACCGTACCATTAATAATATAATATAATAATAATAATATATTTCACACGTCTCACCCACGGCCGTCTGATCCCAAACTAGGCAGAACCTGTACTATGGTAACCAGGCTGCTGATAAACATACTTATGTGTTTGTAAATAGATACATATCTATATATATAAAAGAAAGTCGTGTTAGTTACACTATTTATAACTCAAGAACGGCTTTACCGATATGGCTGAAAATTGGTGAGGAGGTAGCTTAGAGCCAGGAGACGGATAGGATACTATTTATTCGGTTTTTTTTTTTTGTATCGGCGTCGATCACCAGATGACAACGGTGGAACTGTCACAACAAAAGTGAAAAGAATGGATTTCGTTGTCGACAACAGTTGGATTGTTCCATATTCGCCACTTATTTCTAAAACGTTAAAGACACATTGCAACGTTGAGTATTGGTCGGAAGACCATCTGCGTTGTTTGTTTTTGCGCCTGATAAGAAAACAAAAAATGTCGTGTATCACAAGGTACTTAAGTGAAGAGCAACCTATGTGCTGAAATGCAGAAACAATAATAAATGATTAATGTACTTCATTTTTTTCTAAGAAATAAATTAACTTACTAAATTCGAAAATCGGCTTATTTATTGCCTTTAAGGCGGAACAGAGTTCGCCGGGTCAGCTAGTTATAGATAAACTACACACCCAAACACAGAACAAATGACCGTGTTCATTACACAATATTTGTCCTGGTTGGGAATCGAACCCACCACCCGCTTAGCAGTCAGGGTCGCTAACCACTAGACCAACAGGCCCGTCAATTGGTTAACTTTGGGTTCTATTGTATCGTATTCTTTGTCCCATGAACTGTTTAGTAATATGTGTGGTTCGTTCTGAAATCTGAGGTTTTCTATCTCTTTAGCTACGAGAACTGGGCTGGTCATAGATACGTGAAGATAAAAAAATATAGAATAATATTTTGTTTTCAAGTCATTGAAATTACACATTTTACGTATTCGAGTACTACAATTATTTGGCATATTTTAAGATTTTTTTAACAATCCAACCCATCAATTTTCTTTTTTCCTCCCAGGCGTCAGGCCTTGACTTTTATTAATGAATGGCATGAAAATGAGAAATCTTAAACAGTGGTGTCGGAACTCTCAACAACTAGTACTCGTAGCTATAAAGACTTACATAATAAGTTATGGCATTCAATAATGTATGTAATTTCTAAGTTATTAAAGCGTAAAGTTACGTATCGTTGACATGAAACTATTAGAGTTCCACTTGAGTACTGATTACTATTTTAACTTGTTACAATGGCTAAGTGGTAACCGAGAAGGTTAAGCAGTCTCAGCCAGGTCAGTCTATGGATGGGTGACCATTTTTAGCACATTGAGATCTTTCTGTGCCTCGGTGAGCACGTTAAACCGTCGGTCCCCGTTTCCATAAGAACATCTGTGGCAATCGTTTCGCGTACTTGGTACGCTAAAAAGTCCAACAACAGTGTTTCTACAGAACTTCGATATCGCCTAGTACTTGGGTTGTGAGGTCTGAGGGCAGTCGCCATCCATTCTATTCACTCATCTTAATATTTTATTAAGCAACAGTAGAGTCGAAAGAATGTGGAACTATAGCTACCGACAATAGATCACATTCCACATTAATATGACAATCCACATTAATTACAAGAAGGAATACTGAAAAGAAGATTAAAGAATGAGAAAGAAAGAAAACGAAGAGTTGTAATACGTCAACAATTTATTAAAACTTATATTACGTTTCTAAAGATATAATTTTTATAAATATTAAAATTTGAAAAATAAAATTGTGTTATAATTTTTTTAAAGTGTACTTGGGTAAGTTAGTTTTACTTAGTCCTTTTCCACGTTGTCAACTGACTTAAGATATAGCAAGTATAGTTTAAAGTTGTATAAACTTAGACAGTTCGTGTAGTGACGGATTAAGAATACGGAATCTCACTACCCCAATTTATACCGTGGGTGTCGTAAGAACCGACTAAGGGCGCAAAACAACGCAGGATGGTGTACTCCTGCACCTCAAAAAGAAGGAAAACTTGACACAAACCCTATACCAACCCGTCTGGCCAGCGTGGTATAGTAGGCCAAAACCTCGTTTCTAAGGAGAGGCCTATGTCCAGCAGTGGACTATTAAAAGCTGTTGATGATGATAAACATTTATACTAAGGTTAGTCTTTGTCCTGTGGGTTAAAACATTTTTAAATATTTTTTACTACATTTAAGTTATTTGTTTTGTACATTACTTACAGTTAGTAAGATAATATTAATTTCAAGAGATAAATACTGAAGAATCAATGTTACTAATCTAACTACAGTGATTCTTCTTAGTTTGAATTACAGTTTGTGATGAAAAGACTGAGTACATAGGTAGGTCAAAACGTCAAACGACCTCTCCTTTCTGTCAAAATTGACGTTTTAGACATATGTAGGTAAAACATCAATTTTTACGTCTCTTTAAAAACGTCATCTAGAAGGTTTACACGTACTTAGTACCTTACAGCGGTGATGTTTGAACAAAAGTAGACCACATACCTAAATATACCTCTTTATTAGTAACAAAAATATATTATAGTAAGATAAAAACTTATATTTCGGAAATCAGGCAAGATTTGAGTTAGGTACCCTGCACATGACTGCACACAATCTAAGGTAATCTACATAACTATACTGTACTATAACTAATTACACAACACATTTTAGGAGGTTACAGAAAAAAGATTTACAACACAATTACATGAAAATATAAAATAAAACTAAAAGGGTGTTACACACAAAAAATATAAACTCTTAGCGCTTTTATTTATTGTTTTTTTTTTGTCATGTATTTTAAACTAGTCGTTCCATACATTCAACCGCATTTGTAATCAATGCTCCGTTCCTAAGAGATGTATCGCGAAATTAAATAATCTTTGACATGAAGTAAACCATGAACTGCCAAAATAAAAACTTGCGACCTTTGCAGTAGTCGCCCAATATGAGTAATATACAACATGATATCTAGCACGCGTTTCGTCTGCTTCCTGTAACACAATACCCTTCCCTTTGGAAAGCCAAGATGTGATAAATCAATTTTATTTTCTGACTAGCGGTTACAGAGAGTAGAGCGTTGAAAAACATATACTTTTACAGTTGTATATTAGTATATAAACATATAATATAACGGAATGATTTAAAAAAAAAAACGTTAATTCTCACTAGATATAACATTGTCCATAAATTCACTCTCAAAAGTACCTTTAGGACAATTCTCCAACTTCATACATTGGCCATCAGGGCCCTTTACGTAGTCCTGTTCACAGAAACACCCTGTTTTGCAAGGCGAAGGGCATTTAGGGTTCGGGTCACTGCAGGTCCGTTCGCAGGTCTCACACTGCTTGTAGACCTGGAGTGAGTTGCAGGTCATCTGGTACACTATTGGTTGTGGAGTAGTCACTGTAAGAAGTAATATTCTCGTTATAGTCTATGGTATTGTCAAGGACAGAGGGTTTTCAATTTCCGGCAATAGCTAATTGGAATTACCGGCATGACACCCTGATCTGCTCGAGCTATTCGAGCTCCAATCCATCCACATAAGCAATAACACATTTTTTTTACGATTGGATACCCCTTCGGGCCGTCACCCCACTGGATTCCAACAGCCTTTAATAGCCCACTGCTGGACATAGTCCTCTCTTTAGCAAGGAGTTTTTGGCCTACTATACCACGCTGGCCAGACGGGTTGGTATGGGGTTTGTGTCAATTTTCCTTCTCTTTGCAGTGCTGTTGTGCTGCGTAGTTTGGTTCCTTAGTCGGCTTTTGCGATATCCACGAGATGAATAGGGGTCGTGACATTCCGTATTCTTAATCTGTCACCAATGAACAGACAAAAGCAATATCACTTTCCTGCCATAGCCATTCCTTCTTATTTCCCTTTCTCTTACAATATTTGCCTATCTTTCCCAATTGAATCCTTAAGGTGTAAAACTTTACTTTACGTTTTTTTGTGGCAAGTCTTAAATTATCATAGTTTTTAGACAAAGTATTTGCTACACAAAGGATTAATATACTGTTGATTACTGTAAATATTTCCAGTATGGTTTTTAATAAACTATTCAGCGCTATTGAGTGTGCCTAGCATTGTTTCTGTAAGTGTACTGTTGCAATCAAAATATATGTCGAAATAAAAAATAACAACAATTCATGAAATTACTTAAGTCCAGAAGTAACATGTTTTGTATAAAATATTGGTAATCTCTTTAAGTTGAAACTATTCCCGTTGTAGCAGAAGATACAGAAGAACTGTTTTGGAAAAATAGAAAGAAAGAAAGAAAAGAAAGAAAATACGTTTATTAGTCACAACACAAACACAGCCAAAAAAGGGATTACAGATATAACATTGATGAGAAAAAGAAAAGAAACAATTTGCACAACTGAAAAATAACACAAACAATAACAAAAACAAACAAGTACAAAAGAATAAAATGATCACTGTGTGTGACTAAAGGGCCACAACTCAGCCTATGCTATAGTCCCTAAAAGTGACCACAGCGCTGATTTTCAGCTGAAGCCCAAAGGTACCTCACGGACGTGTGCACAGTTCAATTACAATAAACAATATGTGAATACAATAAACATACAAATAAAAGTGATAATTACATACATTAATTACACAACATACATTCTGTTAATATAATAAAGATATCAAATAACTAGTTAGTCGGAAATATAATTATTTTAAATAAGTAGTAGGTATATGACCCTATGGCCAGCAGTGGACTGTTAAAGGCTGTTGATGATGGTATGACTCTCTTTGATTGTTTAAACTAATAAGAATGAAGAATCTATGTCATCATCATTGGGAGACCATGAATAAGCTGGCTCGACCGCAGTGGTTTTTTTACGTGTGGACACCCCCTCGGGCCGTCACTCCATCGGGGTTTGCGGCAGGGTGGTGTGTCGGAATCGGACTAAAACCACACGGCGTGCCACTCTGCGCCTGTAATAGGAGGGATCCAGGAACTGCTGTTGTGCTACTGTAAGACATCCAGACCTCGACCGGAGTCATACTCCAGCCTCACAGAAACCCAGGACTAATTATTAAGCTATACTTAAGTTGTATTTCACGAGGTTACCGGAGCCCAAACCTCCATATCATTTTGATTCTGGGACCCTGGGATACTGACTGAAAGGGAGGCCACGAACTTGTGTCTCTTGAGTTGCAAGTGTGTGATCACTTACCATCAGCTGACCCATGTGCTCGTTTGTTCTCCGATACCACAAAAAACACAGCAGGTAAACATTGAAGATCTAATTTTTTCCTCTCTTCTGTCCTTCTATACATTTTATCCAGTCTACATATGGGAAGAACATTGTGAAATTAAAGTTTTAATCAAATCTACACTGTTCTTGGTTTAATACTCACAGTTTTGACACTTGTCAGGCTTAACGCATAATCCTTTGTCGTTTCTAAGCATGCCTTCGACACAGAAGCATCCCCTCATGCACTGAGCTGGACAAATTGGGTTGGGATTTTCGCAGCTCTTGGCGCAAGGCTCACAGAAGCGGTACTCTTCGTTCTCCGGGCATTTTCCTTCATTTTCTCTGGGCTCACTCGTTTCTTGTGTAAATGCTGACTCTACATATTGAAAAGTAGAAAAGTAAGACTAGCTGTACTAAAAATGGGAAAATAATTTTCTAAAAGTTCAAAAAGAAAAATATTTTTATAGTAAAAATGCGTGGGGTGTTTTTTAAGATATTTTATAATATAATAACTTTATAGAGCTTATAGAGCTAGATCTCAATTGTTGTAAAAATATTTACACCCCACGCATTTTTACGATACAATTATTTTTCTTTTTGAACTTATAGAAAATTATTTTCAACTTTTTAGTACGGCTAGGTACAAAAGCGTGCTTTTTAGGTTTTTAAACTTTAATTTATTCAAAAGCTAATTACTTGGATGAAGGATACCATTTCAATATAATTGGTTAAGTTGTTTAGGTATACAAAAGTGAAAAACAAAGGAACTCATTCACTTTTATAAAATTAATTAGGATAATAAATCTATACTAATATTATAAAGCTGAAGAGTTTGTTTGTTTGTTTGAACGCGCTAATCTCAGGAACTACTGGTCCGATTTGAAAAATTCTTTCAGTGTTCGATAGCCCATTTATCGAGGAAGGCTATAGGCTATATATCATCACGCTAAGACCAATAGGAGCGGAGCACCAATGAAGAATGTTTCAAAAACGGAGAAAATTTATTACTATTGAGAGACGCAGACGAAGTTGCGCGGGTCAGCTAGTTTAATTATAAATTCTATAGCAGTGGCTGTCCATCGTGACTTCTTCGATCGACCTTTGACTTCTCGTGACGAAGGCCCGAGTTCAACGGACGGTCGCCCACTGACTTGACGACGTTCATGTCTCTATTTAAAACTAATTATCACCTGATTCAGCAGTTTAGAAGTTACTTGAGATAGACAGACAACTCTTTATTGTACAAAAGACATAATAATAATACAGTTTGATCTAAGGACAGTTACACAAAGAAAGTAAAACTAATCACATAAAAAAGTTGTACAATTGGCGGCCTTAACGCGATTTGCACTCTGAATACACATATATTATTACACGTATATACACTACACAAAATAGGATGCATAGGATTGAGAATGCTTGAAAAGATTGCGAAGCCACGAATATCAGCACTAGGCCAGCGTAGAGGTGATTGCTGCGGTAGGGCTTGGAATGGCCGGCCTGATTGCATTAAGATGCGATCGGGCCGCCATGCCGCGATTGAGGGGGGAAGTGTTCTCCCCTGGGATAGGGCCTGATTAGGCATGGTGACAATTCGGGGAGGACCTGAAATAACATGGTCCGGGTCCTCCCCAGAGTAGGACACCTGAGGCCGGCCGTCGGGGTGCTTTTTAGTGGAATCACCACATACTCCTGGCTCATAGTCCCCGAGGAGCAGGAGATCCGAAGGGATTTTCCACCCCGTCAACAAAAAAAAAAAAAAAAGGCCAGCGTAGAGGACTATTTTCTCTTTGAGAAATTACCCTATACCCAAAAGTGGGATTATGAGTGGGAAGCTTATTAACAGAGCTGACATCTATCGATCGAGGCCTTTGTGTTACAGTTACTTTGAAACAGGGATTCCCAAAATTTCCCAAAAGACCCCTTGGGGTCGAAATCCAATTCCCACGGGGGTCTAAAAATCGACCCCTATTAATTAACACAAGTTCTTATTTGATACTTTAAGGATACTGTATAAGTTGTGTGTATTAATGTTTTTTAACGTTTTGTAATTAATGTTATTTATATTAAAAAATATTAATTACACTTGATATTTATTGAATTTTATGTATATTTGTTAAATTTTGATGAGAAAATGATTTCAAGTTTACTCACTTAACCAACCGCAAAGTTTTCAAATTGGTAAACATTTTTTATTAATAGGAAAAAACTAGAGATAGGATTTTTAAAGCTATCTGGGTCTGCGGTGTCAGTTCATTTAAGAAAAAGGGTCTCTTGCCCAAAATAGTTTGGGGATCCCTGCTCTAAAAGGTCTTGTACAATACATTATGTATGAACTTGGAAGCAAAACATAGACTAAGACGACCTTTCAGGCCCTTTCAAACTACTTTAGGGTATATTTAAGTCAAAGAACCTTTATATAGTAGACTAAAATACTTACTGATCGGTGGACAGTCAGCTAACTTAACACACAGTCCTTCATCATTTCGATATTCATCTTTCTGACAGTAGCAACCGATCTTGCAGACGCCAGAGCAGTCCACAGCCGGGTTCCTGCATGTCTTCTGACACCCACACATGAGGAACTGTTCCTTTGGCCGGCATAAAGAGGCTACTTGAGCTGTAATAAAAGAACAAGCGGTTTATGTTTTTCTTTTCTATTCTTTATTATCGTAATTTATTAAAAACGCATGAAATTATTTGGATATGTGAGCCTTGGAGAGCGCTTTTTAAATTTATTGTTTAAAAAATGTTAGCCTTCTTTTGTATGAAACATACAGAAACATCATCATCATCAGCGTATCGCAGTTCACTGCTGGAGATAGGTCGCTACCCTTGCACGCCACTTAGATCAATTTTCGGCTTCTCGCATCCACCTCCTGCCAGCCATCTTGCATAGATCGTCACTTCAACTGGCCAGTTCCCTACGTTCACTACGTTTGCCCAGGTGCTGTCTCCACTCAAGAACTCGTTCATTCCAACAGTTGTCGCCTCTGCCACTTGAGTTTGCTTTCCGAAAACACATTTATGAGAAAATCCTTGTTGTATTTATTAATAAATATACATTCTAACATTAGTTTAACACAACATACGTCACAGTATTTGCAGCTTCTGCTTATAAATAAAAAGGCCTGGTGGTAATAGACAAAGTTAACCCTCCCATGATTGAAGTTATGGTATGGGGGGGCAAAGAAGCATACGCGTCAACTGACTACCGCCGCCCATGAAAACCTACAGGTCAAGAGGTACAAGTTCGTTGCTGCCTCTTAAGCCCCTTCTCCGAGGGAGATTTGCAGATCATACAAGCATTTAGTCCGACCCGGGTACGATTCTACTGCACCACGGAGGTAGGCCAATTAAATAAAAGAGAAAGTAAGTGGTTTTATAAAAACAGTTCTTAGAACAATTATAAATCTAGTCATATTCTTCTGGTCTTTATAAAACATACTTCGCCCTCAGTAATACGAGCCAGTTTCTCATTGCTTCCCATAACAAGAGAAGCTATACCTAGAACTGTAAGTAGTGGTAAACAACTCATTGTTTGTATGTCAGACTAATGATAAGTTGTCACACAATATGTTTTATAAACTTGTATGACTGGTGTGGACTGTCCGACGCGAAGTGGAACGCATTGATTCATGCTTTTGTATCAGTAGTTACGATTATAAATATTTCTACTGGTTAGATGAGATAAATCATTTATTTAGGTGTCTGTAATAATATTTCAAGCCATTGCTTTGCATAGAGATTAAATTCATGCGATGCATTGATGTTTAAGCTTCAGTAAACGCCAAGCAAAAAGCCCAAATGTCAATCAATAAAAATGTTCTTTAAAGATTTCTTAAATACGCCAAGAGAAAGGTTCATTCTTCTATATAATTTCAGATTGCTTTTGTTTATAACCCATCCCTACCCCTGGCCCATCACGCCACGACTCTCGGGTGCAAAGTAGTAACCATTAATGTATGTATGTTTTTATTTTTTAAACTTCTTTGAAGTTTCAGTGTTTGCGTGTGCCACAATAAAACTTTATTTTCTTTCTTTCGAATTAAAATATTAGGTACCAAAATCGATTAATTTTATGACAATTCAGTTATTATCAACAGAACACAACACGGCGTTCGATTGAGGCATCAATATAAAACAAAAGGTTAACGTCTCTAATATTATCCTTAATTAAAACGAACGAAAATTTAAACACAAGTAGAATAATTAAGCCTTATGAAGATTTAAAACAAAATCGTATCTGTATGTTACATATCAATTTCTCTGATCATAATGAACATTAAACTTAAGACAGACTTAACTTGAGACAGTGATCGATTAATTTACTTTGATTGAATCGCAGGCTAGCTGCAACTGACGGTGTCACTGGTCTGTCAGTAGCTTTATGACAGCTCATTTGACATGACAATTAAGGATTAGTTTAATTATAAAGTGGGCTAAAGATCTGACAGTAAAATGCAGTACCTACTGCTTTTTAAACTGACTTATAAAAGAAAGTGTGTTTTTTTCATTGGCTGTTTTTTTTGTTTGCTGGTAGCATACTTTATAGTACCTGTTTTTTTAATTTAGTTTGGGGTCTTAAATATGCGTGTATAAGAGAAGACAATAGAAATAATTAATTTGAAGTCAGTAATTGGCCCGTTTTATTAGGTACATAATTAAGAAACACCGACTTCAATGTTCCTAAATTATGTTAAATTGTAATAAGCCGTAGTCGGTCCTCATCCTTCCATTGTCACCCTTAGAGTTGGAATGTTTTCTTCATATTTAAATGGGTTCTACTTGAAGAAGAACCGATTCATCATTTATTTTTCACTGAAATAGATTCATAGAATGGGGATAAATCATGATGTTCATAAAAAATATAGTTATATTGGTGTGGAATTGATACCCGCCTCCTTTTTGAATTCGGTTAAAAATGAGGTCTAAAACATTATTCTAGTATAAAGATTTAATATTCTAGTCTATGAATTAAAAAAGACTATTCTATTTAAACGTTTACTAGATGATGTAACGCAATTTCCCTTTTAATAATAATAATAATGAGTAACAAAAGCGTATTATAACTAATAATAATATAACCTAATAACCCAATTTCCGGAGCCAAAATTAATGAACTTGAAATATTAATTTACTTTCATTATTACATTAATTTTACGCTGTCATAATTTGTTACTCTCGAGGGAGTTGAGTAATTAAGCGAAAAGATTGTAAACTTGAGGTGAATATTGTTAATGAGGCTTAATTGCTGGAAAGAGTTTACAGCGGTTTAGTAGCCTAGCCTAGTGGCAATGAAAATCACAGGAAGTTTCTTTTTCTACGCGTGGAAACCTACCCGGGCTTGCGGGTTTGCGGCGGGGCGGTTGGTCGGAATCGGACCGATTAAAACCACACGGTGTGCCAAGAGAAGGAAAATTTGAAGCAAACCCTTTTTTTTTTTTTTTTTTTTTTTTTTTAACGTGTGGAAATCCCCTCGGACCGTCACCCCTCCGGGGTTTGCGGCGGGGTGGTGTGTCGGGCTCGGACCGACTAAAACCACACGGTGTGCCACTCTGCGCATGTAACAGGAGGGATCCGGGAACAGCTGTTGTTAAGACATCCGGACCCCTCCTAGCGCCAGCCCGCTCCTGGTGCGGGCTCCGTCTCAATGGTGTTCCTCTCTTTAGGCGACGTCCGGCACACGCGGACGCCGCCCCCTCGCGGCTGGCCAAACAAATGCGGGTGGAGGGGAAACCCACCCCTTCCACCCGCGGCCACACTCAGGGCGGCATGAGGCTGTGGTAGGCGGGCCTCCGCCGCGCGGTTCGCCGGCGGCGGATCGGGTCCGAGTGGAGGTCGTCCTCCCGGGCCCTCTCCGCCGCCTCCTTCCGCGAGATTACTACCTCGCAGAAGGTTGCGACCGCGGTAAAACAACTGTCGCTACCGGCCATGGAGCGTACTACGGCCGGTAGCGAGAGATCCACTCCGATGACTGCAGTGAGGGCCCGGCGCTGCGCCGCCCATGCGGGGCAGACCGCCAGCGTGTGCTGGGCCGAGTCCTCACTGCAGTCGCAGTGGTGGCAGGCGGGACTCAGTTCCCTCCTAGCGACCGTGTGCAGGTACTTTCCGAAGCAACCATGCCCGGAAAGCACCTGCGTCAGCCGGAAGGAAAGGGTCCCGTGCTGCCGCCCTGCCCACTCGGCGATGACCGGCTGGAGAGCCTCCACGGCGGCAAAGCCAGCGCGTGGAGTCTCCAGCCGGAACGACCAACGAGCCATCGTGGCTCGGCGAGCGGCTTCGCGCCACTCGCGCACATCCTCGGGCGGAGGGCGAAATCCGCTCTCCGCCCGGAAGTCAGCCACTCGCCGATAAACTTCGGCGAGCACTTCCGCCTCCAAATCCCACGGGGGAGTTCCGGCCAATGCGCATGCCACCTCCGTCGAAACGGTGCGGTAACCGCGTATGGCTCTGACCGCCATTACCCTCTGAGGGCGCCAGAGGCGTACCCTATTCTGGGCGGTCAGAGCCGCCGCCCACACCGGTGCACCGTACAGTGCCATTGACCGGACAACCCCCGTGTACAGCCGTCTTGTCGCGACGCTGGGTCCACCCATATTGGGCAAGAGTCGCCCTAGGGCAGACGCAGCGCCGACCAGCTTTGGAGCAAGCTGTCGGAAGTGCTCGTCGAAGAGCCACCTCCCGTCGAGGATCAGGCCCAGATATTTCATCTGGGCCCGAACCGGTACGAGGACCGAGTTGACCACGATGGAGGCGCCAGGGGGTGGACCACGACGGGGCCCATGGAATAGCAGGGCCTCCGTCTTATCTAGGGCCACCCGTAAGCCCAGCGCCTCAATGCGCCCGACCACCAGGGAGACTCCCCCTGTGGCCAGGCGCGCCGCCTCTTGGAAGTTTGCCCCCCGGGCTGTCACGAGGGTATCGTCTGCGTAACAGATTACACCCAGCCCGGGGGGGAAATCGGCGCGAAGGGCCCAGTCGTACCCTATGTTCCACAAGAGGGGTCCAAGAACAGACCCCTGTGGAACACCGCACGACATGGGCCGACACCTCAGATTACCTTCTCGGTCCTCGTACACGACGGTACGCTCCTCTAAATAGTCTGCCACCAGCCGCCTCAGGTACTTTGGCACCCCATGATAGTGGAGTGCTTCCCTGATGCAGCTGAATGGCAGACTATTGAATGCGTTGGCGATGTCCAATGACACCGCCAACAGCACGCCGCCACAGCTCACAGCCTCTTCGGTCACGGCCCTCAGGCGCAACACAGCGTCGACTGTCGAACGCCCCGCCCGAAAACCAAATTGGGCGTCCGACAGATCGGGGCCCACCTCGCAAAGGTGCCGGACGATGCGGGCAGAAAGAACCCTCTCAAACAATTTGCCCGCCTCGTCCAGCAGCACGATGGGCCTATAGGCCGCGACCGAATCGGCAGGCCGTCCCGGCTTCCTCAATAGGACCAGCTTCCCGCTCTTCCAGCACTCAGGGAAGCGTCCCGACGCCAAGCTAGCGTCGAACACCTCCCCGAGGCGGTCTGCCATGTGGTTGAGGGCCAGGGCCAGCACTCGGGCCGGTACCCCGTCTGGCCCAGGGGCGGTGTTCTTGGAACGGATCCGT